TGACATCTTTTAGTGTGGTTAATAGCAAGGCTGAAACTTGCGCTTCTGGCATTTGCAATACTGCTGATAAGGAACAGCTGTGAACATCAGTCTCATCTAAAAGGACAAAAACTTATATTGCCTAGCATAAGTAGGAAAGCAGTAAAGGAAATAATACACAGGTCCTAGGAATATGATGAAACAGAAGAAAAACAGTGATTGATTGGAATAAGACAGAGAATTTTTAATGGGATTAAAAATAAAACACAAAATCTTTATGCTTTCAAATCAGAGAGAAAATTTTCCACTGCCACTGGTAGGGCAATTATTTTGACAACTATATTTTAAAAATAAATAGCTGTTTTTCTTAAGCTTGTCAACAAGAGACTATGATTTTAGGGTGAACAAGGATCTGAATTAAATGAAGTGAGAATTTGAAGTGATCTGCAGAAAGCATTTGCATGGATCCTCCCCCTCAGAGTTAGATCTATTTACTTACATTAAGTAAGATTGCCTTAGGTGCCCTTTAATTCCAGTTGTGTGGGGATTTAAAGCATTTTAACTAATCTTGTAGTGAACATCAACTAACAGTCCTGGTTGTCACTGTGTAGGCAGTTCTTGTGTGGTAAATAATAGGATGATGTTCTGGTAAATGGTGGTTGGAAGAAATTGGTTTTCCAGATGTTACCAGTAAATAAGTAATAGAAAGAACTTCTTGATTTGCGTAACAGTACATGCCTTAGAGTAGCTGAATTCTGTGAGAAGCAAGAGAGTATGGGGAAAATATTGGTTATGTGAGATATCTTTTTAATGCAAAACATTTATTTAAAAAGTGTCTAAGAATTTGTGATTGTAGCTAGGTTTTCAGATCCATTGCAGCAATCACATGCTGCTAGGCCAGAAGGAAATACTCATTTCACTTTAAGTGTTCAGAATCTCTCATGTAACCTAAAAGAAACAGAACTTCTAGATATTCTGAAGTAACAACAGCAATTTTACAAGACAACATTTGAGCTGGGGTGACATTTCACCTTTCAGTATCTCATTTCCAGAGAAGTCTACAGCCAGGGTCCAGCATCTGTCAAAGATATTGCTGAAGTTTTCTAGTCTCTTGAAAACAGCTACTTGGAAGACTAAGCTGCACTTCCAAATCTCTTTGCTGAGTCTGGGTTCCCTCTAACATCACAGGAACTGAATGTTGTACTTGTCTAGTTTGCTGTAAAAGATGTTCCCCGATTCTCAAAGAAATGGAACAATGTTACTGATAAATGATGGATTTTATGTGATGTTATTTAAGAAAGCCATCATTTTTAGACTATTGGTGACTGGGACCTGCCATGTTTTCTTTCCTTCATGTGAATTATTTAAGTTATAAAACAGGGTGGTGGTTGTTGTTGTTGTTTTTGCTAACAGGCAGATGTATCATTTAACTGTTCAAGAGCCTTGTTCTACTCTTGCTGACCCTCAGCCATCCTCTTCGATGGCAGCAGGAGGCATTCAGCACAGTGGGGGTTCTCATTACCTCTTGATGTTTTGTTTGGTTTTCTGCTGTTGTTATTTAATGGTTCAAATTCTTTCTTTGCTGCTCCCAGAAGCTATTTAGCAAGGGATTTACTTTGCCTTATTGACTCAGAAAAGAGTTTCATTTCAGAGCTGTGGCATTCTCCTTCACCATTTTCTCCTGCTGTGTCCCTCACTGCCACATTTCCCAATTAACCTTTTTCCCTGGTCTTCTCACACGGGGGGGAGTGTGGCACAGGTGCTGCACTGCTTTGCTCCAACTATAAAACCCTCTGTTTTTTTATAGGATATATATATATATATCCTATATCTATATAGATATATAGATGTTACACAGGCGCATATATATATATATATATAGGATGCCTGTGTAACATATATGATGTGGGTTAAGTTCTTGGCTAAAATAAATTGTTGTATATTTTGCAGAGGCAGAGATAGGTAAGTGGAGCAAGAACAGAAGTTGCATGGTTTCTCTCCTTAGCCTACAGTTTATTACAAGCACTTCATAGCTCCCTTAGTGTTGGGTATGGATGTCCCACAGGCTTTAATACAATATCTGAAGTAAGGCTGAAGAAGAGGGAAGATACTGTACCTTTTGAGAGAACAAAGACATCAAGGATAAGGGTGAAATTCAATCTTACTGAGGTTTATCTACCACTAAGATAGATCACCAGTTTATATTTTTCCCTGTGCTTCCCTCTCCACTGGAAAGGCAGAAGTGTCTCCTGTGGTCCATTTACATGGTGCTAATCACTGGAGAACCCTTCCAGTTAAGTGGCAGCAAGAGGCCGGATTGAAAAGCCTGCACAGCTTTAGATGTGTTCATGATAACAAAATTCTTTGAGAGTTAGTTTTTAAATCCGGAGTAATAGCATTGAGTTTACAAACTGAGATGTTAATAAGTAGGATCAGATATACACATCCAGTTGTGCTTTTACTCTTTCCTGAGCGCTTAGAGCCATTGTTGATGCTTAAAGACAGTCACAGCCCTGAAAATCAGCTTTCTGTCCAATACTTTATGACCATTCCTATGTTCTTACATGAGGCTGTTTTATCAGTGGGAAGGGAGAATGAAAATTAAGTAAAGATCGATTTTTTTCGAACGGGACATCAGCAGTGAGTTTTATTTCCAGATCTGTGATGAAAGTGCCACTGACCTACAAACAGAAAAACTGACTTTCAGTTTACAGAAAGAGCCTCTACCAGGTGCTGAACATCAGGGTTTTATGTCAGGTCACTGCAAGCCTTTTGGAAACTCAGATGAGCTGTTTCACCATGTGTTCCCCTCAGATGGTGAAAACAGCTTGTTTGCATGGAATGAGGAAGCTCAGATCTGACATCACTTGCAGCATGGTGTGTAGCTGTGCTGCTACATGCGTGCTTCCTGCCCCTGTGACAGCACCATGTGGACCAGCACAGTGAAAGCTTGTCAGCTCAAATAATTCACAGAAGGTAGAGAATGTATGGCCACAAAAAAACAGATATTGCTTATTGGAACAGTGCTTACAACCTCCCACAATCTTGGGCACATACACATTTAAGTGTACCCCTATGTCTTCCATAAACAATCACCAAGGATGGTTGCTCTAGTTGAAAGACTTTGTAGATTTGATCAATGTAAATGTTAAAAAGAGGAGTATCTTGGACTGAGCATTTTGCTGCTACTGTGGTAAATATATGCCCATTGTTTGCTGCTTTGACTAGTATCTCCACAGCTGCTGAATGGCAGCACTTCTGCATGAATGCTCTTGTTGTGTTTGCTATAAAAGCCAATTCTGACTTCAATCCCTACAAAAAAAGGAAATTGTGGTTAAATTGAACAGTTTTCCCCATCAAATCCCGAGAGGTAGAAGATGCTGGTGCTGTTGGATTCAGAGGACCAAGCTGGACTTGTTGCGAAACTGAAGCTTTTGCTCTCTATAAAGTGTTGAAAGTAGAAGCAAAAAGTCTTTGGTGCAGGGGCAGTGATCCAGATCTGACTTCTGCAATTTCCCATTTGGTTTCTTGCAAACTACTTTTGTCCAATCATACCATTTATTTGCTCTCAAAGATAATTTTATGTAATGTGGATTGGGAAGTATGACATAACCGTTGCTATCTCTGCTTCATTTTCAGTGACATGATATTTTCTAGTACAAACAAAATCTGTTCAGCAGCCAGTTTTTGAAAGAGAGGCTGCTTTGTAGAATGTTCTGAATATCAAGGAAAAAAAAAAGCTGCTGTACTGTCACACTTAGCAAATTCTTTGCTCTAATATTAGATTTACAGCCACCACTGTTGGTGGAGAGAGGTGGCTTATCCTTGAGTCCTCTCTTGTTTAGCATCCTCCATAGCACAGTTGCAGGCAGACAGGTAGGGTGTAGCTTGGTACCAACAAGAGAATCAGTGTGTTGCAGGATTTGAAGGATAAAGTGTTGAAAGACAGAAATTTTCCAGCACAGTGAGTACTGGGCATGGTAATTTAGCACTCATGGTTATAGCAGCCTTCTGTGATGTGGCTAAAGGAAAGTAAGGTTAATTCCTCTGTTATTCATAGGCCATGGTGACTTCAACAATACTGTGCTGCTGCTAGCTGTAATAGTACTACTACTAGTACTGAAGAAGAGAAGATTCTTATTTCGTTACTGGGCTAGAGATTCTGGTGTCAGATATAGAGAAGAGCCCTATTGGGATAGGTGAAGAGTAATGATGTCAAAACCTCAAAAACATTTTCAAGTGGGGAACTGAGAACTTTTTGTGGTACCACTGACAAGACCACTAAGACCACCCAATAGGTGGTAGTGATGTTGGAAATCTGTCACTAACTTTAATTACTATGAAGCCTATCATAACTGAAGATTTCCATTGTGTAGATTAGTAATTCTTTAGATTTATAGAATTATCAGAATTTATAGGTTTATAAATAACACGTTGCAGATATGTTTTTACAAGTGAAGTTAGTGCACTTGGTATGCTCCATCTTCTTTACTGTAACAAGTTCTGCAATTCATGTTTTTGTTTGCATTTATAAATTTTGTTCACTTCTAAGCCATAAACAAAAGTGGAACAAATTCCCTGCTTACATCCACACTGCTTACTTGATGTGTTCATTGCTGGTAGCCTTAAAACACTCATGGTGCTGTGCTTTGGTGCGTGAATGCTTTGCGGATTATCATTTCTTGATGATTTGAAATGATAATTTTCATTTTCTTTATCATTTGTCATTTCTTCTGAATTTCATATTATTCTGTAGCTTTACTTGGAGCCTGTAGGCTAGCTCTGAGGTATGATGGTACACGCAATATACATAGGTTTCTTTCAGTAACAACAATCCTAACAAAAATGGAAGAAATAGTGTACAGTGTGTATATGATAGTCCTGACAGGGGAGAGCACCATAAACATGGAACTTCAGTGATTTGGGAGGTTGGCTACTGATGACTCTTCCGTAATGACTTTGAAACCAAACAAATGCATGTATTGGCTTTCAATCTAATTTTGCCATATTCTTCTTCACAGCTTCCTGTTATGGGAGGAGCCTTTATGGACTCACCAAATGAGGACTTTAGTACAGAGTACTCTTTGTTTAACTCATCAGCCAATGTCCACGCAGCTTCTTCCATGCAGAATCCACCAGAAGAAACATCCCGGTCTTCAAACGATGCCATATTGTTATGGATTGCAATCATAGCAACAATTGGAAATATTGTGGTTGTGGGAGTGGTGTATGCCTTCACCTTCTAGGATGCCTGTCACTCCAAACACTGGAAGAGAGGATAACTACAGCAGTATTTGTCATGTGTATGTATGTATGTGTGTATATATACATGTATATCTATATAAATACATATAGGTGGGGACTTTGTTGGATAAGTACTGCCACAATCACAGAAAAGAAATGCAAGCTAATCATTATGAATCTTGATTCTCTAATGGAGAACAGCGCCAACACAAGATTTGTATGGAAATATAATGAAAGGCAGACCAGTGTACTTACAGTGGATACAAAAAGGAAGTGAGATTTATCCAGGAAGTGCTTATTTTCTACTGTTGAGATTTTTCTAGCAGCTTTTCTGGATTTTGTCAGATTTTTGTGCATTTTTTTTACTGTGGTATAACACTGTATGTAATTGTTGTGTGTCATAGTTAGTAAACATGTTAGTTTTTCAGGTGGCATTGACTCAGTTCTGATACAGTACAGGTTCATTGTGTGTGCATTGTAGCACTTGCATACACTAAGCTGTGTTCAAAATCATGAGTCTTAACATCATGAGAGGCAGATGCACTGTACTAAAACTTGCCTTCCAGTATCAATGACTGGATATGATCATCTAAGAATTGATGCTCCACCTGCCTGCTGGTTGCAGGAGACACAAAGTGTGAGTGGAATAGAACAGCATAAGCCCCTATTTCTGTGTAGAGATGCTGGATTGCAATGACAACAGCAGTTTATAGGTGTGTTTCATCTAGGAACGAAAGGACAAATATCATGCTTTCAAGCTTATTTCATCATAATCCAGGTTTTCTACAGAATACATTCTTTCATAAGCATATAGTTGTAGCAAATGAATGTGGGGGAACTGTGAAGCCTAATTAACAGTGAGTGATGTCTTATGAACAAAGTTGAATTTAAAGAAAGATGAGATACTTCTGTGCTCACAAGGGAGTGAGTACAGGAGTCTGGTGTATGCAGGGTAGAAATAACACAAAGGTAAGATATGGTTGGTGAACAAGTACCTGTGTCTCAGTCTTAAGTCTCTATGTTCTGGCTCCTGGAAGTGGCTTTTATAGAGCCTACTGTAAGTAACAGCTCTGCTCACTGAATTTTTTTTCTATTGGGGAACATTTTCATTGCATTATTCCCATAAGCACTTCCTTTTCAAAGTTGCAGCTGTTCTTGTTTCAGAGACTATAAAAATCCTGAGGGGAGAGGAAAAAAATCACCTTTGTTGAAAATCTCCCTCTTCCTCCTACAAGAAGTAAAAAACACCACAAATAAAAACTCCAAAATATTTGAACTTTGAGACAGTGGAAGAGAAATTCCTGCTCCAAATCTATATGTACTGTCTCATGCAACTACTGTGCTAATTTCAGAAAGCCTTGTCTGAAGGCACAGAGCCTATTTTTGACACTTTCCTGCTACTGAGCCTGAGGCTGGACTAAGAGATCGCAAATCCATTGGGAAGTTTGAATTTTCCTTCTTTTCTCTTTAAATTCATTTCCCTTCAGGGCTGGTGGACAGTTACTTGAATCAAAGCAGCATGCCCCAAATTGGTGATTAGAATTGCTCCTAGTCACTGTGTATATTTTTTTCTGTCTTTTGTGAACTTGCTTTTAAAGCTGGAAAGATGCAAACAGCCAGCGAGAGGGAAAAATAGAATAAGTTATCCTAAGGATGGAAAATCCAATGACAACTCAGTTGAGAAACTGAGCATCCGTGTGTTTAACTATTTTTCAGTTTGGAGGAATTCTGTGAAGATGGTTGAGTACAGAAGAGATCTGTTCTGAGAAAAATCTTGAGAATTAGTGGAAGCTTAGCCACGCAGGAAAAAAATTATAATAACACACAATAATAATAATATAAACTGCAAAAACTGTGCTATTCACTGTCCTAAAGTAGCTGTTTGCCCCTTTGTAGGTCAAAAATAATGAAGTTTTAAAAATGGGTAAGCTGTATAAATTGTGTACCTGTCCTGTTCTTCAATTCTTCTTTATCCTTTCTGAGCAGAAAGCAAACTGTTAAGTGAGGCTGGAAGGCTGCAGAGGGGTTTTGAACAGGGAACTGAGCATGACAGGGTAATGTATACAGATACACAGGACCCCTGGAAACATCACGTGAAATACAATTTTTTTGATATTCTCTTGCTTTTGTAATTAGATCAATTACTTACATGCTTTTTGTCAGATTTTTTTTTTTCAGAAGTTCAGTAGGCTCTCTAGTTAGACCAAAACCTGGAAGCACATGAACAGCACAACATTTTTCACCGTGATTAAAACCAATTTGACAATAAGGTTCTAGCCCAATGAGGTTATTCTACTGCCAAGTAACTTTGTTTAAATTTCCTATTGAATATTAATCTAAGTGCAATTAGCAATGTTTGCCCTTTCTTTCTCAAAGCACTGTACTAAATTCTTTACCCATGAAGAAATTGAAGAGGGAAGAGTAGAGAACCACCACTCTGCTAATGAACCCAAGTGACACTACTGTGTTGTTTTTCCCAAAGAAAGTGCCCTACTTTCATGTGAAATTAATAATAATTGCAGGGGTGTTGGAAAACAATGAATTGTGACTTCCTAACCCAGATCATTCTCATACATACTTACATCATTACAGGCTGAGTTGTCAAAAAGGGCCAGACAGAACTTTAATTAAAGTAATTGGCTTGACAGTGTGATAGGAAAACGGAGTGCAGGCAGCAAGCACAAGCAGTTCCTATCTTGTAGTTAAAGATGTTAACTGTTCTGTCAGTTTCCTGCTACAAAAAAAAACCCAAAATATCTCTAACATTCAGGTGCAAGGATATTGCACGCAGGAGTATACACAGAATACTGCCAGGCATATAAAAGATCCCTATATTAAAGCAGGAAGGCTGGCTCAGATTCTGGTCAGTTTTGATAGCAATAACATACTGTGTATGTTTCTGGGTTGAGCCACTACAGTCACTTAATCTCTTAGAAGAATCAGGAAAGTTAAAATTCAGGCATTGAAAAAGGAGACTCATCCATCACTAAGTGCAGCTAAACCACAGAGGGGAATGGGGAAGAAATGGTGGCTGTTTCATAGATATGGTCCCTTTGAAATGTGCTATTACTGCCTCTTTACGTGTGTGTGTAAGTTATACCCTGAACTGTCAGCAAGCTTGACTTGGAATGCTATAGCTGCTCCTTTCCTTGAAGCCCAGCAGCTGGAGAAGTGCTACCTGTCACTGAGGGATGATGAGTAAGCCCAAATACACTCCCTGGACTCATACTGTAAAAAAGTTGAAGAGGCTTCTGTGCTTTGCTGAGTATTTTGTGCATCAGCTTTAGAGCAGGATTCCACTTGTAGAAGATCTATGCTTTAAATAAAAGCATTTAGCACAGATAACAGTTACAAGAGCCTGATTGGAGTTTATTTTGTAGCAGATAAAGCAAAACTACCTGCAGTACTAGACTCCTAGTTATGCTGTAAGCACAAAAGCAATACTTTGCTCTGCTGTGTTATTAATGATCCCCAGGAAGAGGGAAACGAACTGGATGCCCTTTGTGCCTTTTCTAGCCATGGCCCCTAGGGATCTGTGACAACATATCAAATAATCAAACTGTCACTTACAAATTTTTTTTGGTCTAAGCATCCAGCAGATTGATGCAGCTGCTGTGCAGCCACTCCAGCAGGGAGATGGAAGGCTGAGCACTCATGGAAGTACATGAAAGGGGACATTAGATAGGAGGATTGGGTGAGGAAATGCATGCAGCCATTCCTGTCACAGTTTTATCTCCAGGGCTGGCTATCTGTGCTTGTCCACAGCATTAATATCCCCCAAAATAAAATAAGGGAGTAAAAATGTATTTTCATGTCAGTGCATTTGCAAAACTGAGCAACAGACTTTGAAGCTGATGCAGCAGCAATAGCAGAAGGACTCATCTGCTATGATTAATGTATTTAGCAATTTAAATGAAAAAGTGAGTGGATGGTTACCTTGAAAGTAAAGAGGTCCCCTCTCCAAAATCCTTGTTTGCATTTGGACTTGAGGGTTGTCAGCATTCCACCAAACTGCTGAACAGCCTGTAATAACAAAGCTCCAGGCAAGAGTGAATAGAATCATAAAATTCAGCAAGGTTAAAAAAGACCTCCGAGATCATTCAATCCAACTGTCCACCTATCACTAATGTTTCCCACTAAACCACATTCCTCAGTACAAAAGGTAAACATTTCTTGAACACCTCTAGGGACAGTGACTCCACCACCTTCCTGGGCAAAATAGAAGCAGCCAGGCATTTTATTGCAGCCCTGTACATTTGTTTGGAGTTAAAAGGGAAAATCCTATTATCTGGGACCAATACGAGTCTTTGGGCTGTAGGTTGTTATGCATTTTGTCTATTATTAGAAGCTTTCTTTTTGCTGTTCTCAAAATTATTCCAGTTCTTAATATCCTCTTCACATTGCTCTGCAGGCTGCTGAGAGCTATTCATTTCATGTAGCTCTGTTCATTTATACAATGTCATTTTACTGGGTTTCCTGTGGCTAATCACAGAGCAGAATCTAGAAAATTATTCATTCCAAGGCAGAGTTCTGATTTTCAGCCTATTTTTCTCTATAATGGAACTGTAGATCAAAATGCTTCTGTGTTTTTGGAGCACGCAGAGCTCTGGTAACTGGATTTCATCTGGCTAATGCTCAGAAAGAAAAAGGGCAATCAGGTCTCTGATGATAATGTCAGACATCAGGGTTCTGACAAGCAAAGCTTAGTGCTTCATTAACTTCTCATCTGCCCCTCTGAGCCCCGCTGCCTTCTTGTACACACAGTCTGAGCTGAGTTTCAGTGAGCTAGCCATCAGGTACAGCGTGTCCTTCCTGTCTTACAGCTTGCTCATCCGCAGGGAATGAAGAGAATTTATTCCCTTAGCAGAAGAGCAGAGATCAATATTCTGTTAGGAATGTTGTTACTTGGTACATCGGTCAGTCATCATAAGATCAAGGTCAGGATGGTTTAACAAGCAGTAAGCCCTTTGCTGCTGATCTGGGAACACCTTAAAGAATTCAAAACGTCTTGAGGTCTTAAGGTCTTCTAATGCCCTAGATCTGATTTTTGTCTTTCCTCATACAGCTCCTCTTTTTTATCTTTGACTTTGTCTTCCCAACTTCAGATGGTAAAAATGAAGTCACCTCTTTGCTTGTGTATGGACATACAGGGAAATCCTAGCAGGTTGGAACCAAGCATGTCCCATTTCAGTTTTGGCTCTTCTAGCACAAAGTTGAAGAGAAGACTCCAGTAGTCTCTCCAGAAATCTCTAGGGAAATGTGTCCTCACATGGTATGGCAATTTTGTGTCATTCTGGCCTGTTAGTACCAAGGTAAAAGCTCTTTCATATGAACACAGACAGTGGTTTCATCCTTTTGATACAATTTGGGATGATTATGCTACCCACTCTTACCTTTCCAGTGTAAGCTGCCAGTGAAGAAATTTTGCATTTGTAGAAAACACATAGAAAGCTTCCCATTTTGCAAGAATCATCTTCTAAAGTGCTGCTTAGTCTCCTGCAAAACAAACAAACAAAAATCCAGGTTTGTTAACAAGGAATGTTAATGAGTCAACTGTTATCTGTACAGTAACAGCACCTCAATTTACTACTTTAATCTACAGCTTTATGCCAGTAAATCTTAAAGGCAATCTCATTATTCCTGATAATTAACAGAAATGGAAAACAGAGACAACTCATTTTTCAGGAAAGTCTCAGACATCACTTTTTTCCTCTTACCTTCCCAAAGTACCCTGATGTGAACTCTCATCCATCACTTCAAAATCACTTATCACCATGCATCTTCATGCCTTCATTTTATTTCTCCCTTTATCTTCCTTCCATTCTCTGGCATCAGAGCACAAGTGTTTGGATGTCAGCAATGTTCTTCAGCTGTTCTTAACAATCTTTGGTGACCTTCAGAGTAACATTATACAAAGATTAAAATAATGTCCCTTCCAGTAGATAGATCTTAGTCATTATCTACTTCAGCAAACTGCAGTGTATTTCCCCAAAGCAGAAAAGGAGAATACAACCATTAAGCTTTCCAATTGTATCATCCAGTATCTATATAGCACAAAGGTACCTTTTTGATTTTTCCCCCCCCCACAATTACTACTGCATCATTCTGCATTTACTGAGTTTTCTCCAGCCCCAAGTCCTTTGTTTTTCTATGCAAACCAGTATCACTAGCAAAGGGTAAAGTGAAAGATACTAAAAGCACTCACTAAAAGTACCATACACAGAAGAAGAGGAAAGCTCTGTATGATTTACTGTAGGGCCAAGCCCTGAACCAAAGGCAATTCAGTGAGAAAAACAAGCACAATGTGCTGAGCCATTGATATTTCACATCTAAGTGACATCTATACTTCTCAGATGTGTGGTAAAGCTGCTATAATCAGCTTCAGCATTTCTAAATCTTATTTTTGAAACACAGTGTAGTCCTTAGGACTGAAAAGCACTGAATAACCTTCCCTCAGTCCATGCTTGTTCTGATATTGATTTGGGAGCTTCCTGAGTTCCAGTCACCAAGCTATGTTGCATTTCCTGAGGAGTTCAGCTCCATTTATGAGGGAGATTAAACTATTTACAATTTAGACCTAAAATACATTTCAGTTGCTGCCTTCACAAGGAAGCTGATGGTCTCAAGCATGCAAGCTGCTCTTTGCAGTGGGATCTTTGCCTCCACCTGGAGTCAACTGGATTAATAACACTTCTTCACTTCTGAAATCTGCTTCAGTGAATCAACTTGCATGCTCTGGGTTGCTGGCATTGCATTTTCTTTTCTTTTTTTTTTCTTTTTTAATTTTAAACACATCTAAAGATGCTCATATTTCCCTAATCAAAAGAAAGCAAGAAGAGCACTGTATTTTTTTAAATGAAAATAAAAGACAAGTCTGAATATTTTGATAGATTTGCTGGAAAGGTATATAACTTAGCAAACTGTTGCACTATTTTTTCTATTGTCTGAGCACCAAACCTGAAAATTGTTTTGTTATTTCTCTAGTCCTCTAACTTCTCTTTCAGTTATGAAGTTATAAAGGTTCAGAAGGAAGGGAGTGCAAAGCCTCAATGAAATTTTAAGCTAATGTAAATAAAACCAGTAGCTAGCCTTATGAGGTAGCCTATACCATTTACTTTTCAGTTAAACAAATAGGCAATATTTGAGATACGTTTTGTTTTTCAAAATAAGTTTATTAGTGGCACTTCCAAAAAGCATCTGTACTGCACGTAAAATGGAGGTATTTGGAAATGACATCCTCCTTCAGCTCACATAAAAAAAAGTTTACAGGAGCCACTTAAAATGCACTGTTATTTTTCTTAATCATACTGGACAGTTTAATCTCTTGTTCTTTGTCTCTGCTATCTTGTTTTGCACACTTAACAGGTTTGCTGGATTTCTTTGTATGTTTTTTGTAATATATGGGTTGGTTTAAACAATAACATTTACTCTTGTAATAATTGTTCTCGAAATGTGGATCTCTAGCTGTAAAGAGAAAAACAACTTAAAGAATACCCTGTTTTCTCTAAGTTTACTGTAATAAGCAAGTTTAGCTAACAGAACTGTATTCTTTTCAGCTCCTGTTATATTCTTATCCAGTTATTGACTGGTTTCACTATGTATGTACTTGGGACTGGTTTGCTCTTTTACTATGATGAAAATGATAAGTTTTGTTAACATCAGGTGGAAACTGTGTTTTTGGATAAAGTTCTTCAAATTGGTGGCAACGTGTAATTTTTCATTTTAGTCTCTTTATGGGGCAGTATTTAGAAGTCTGTAAATGTATCTATTTAATTATTATTACCTCCAGTGACATACAGACACAAATAAGTTGTTAAAATTTACAAATCTGCATGATTTGTCAGCCTTTGGTAACTATCTCCATTACATGCATGGTACAAACACAACACTAGGCTTTCTCTACAGAAATGTGTTAACCTTCTGCCAAAGAATCTCAGCCTACCTCAGAGCCAAAAAAAGAAGTCTCAGCTTCCTCAGGCTTCAGTTCAGAAGTCCTTATACCCTGAACCCTTGTGGAAGGGTGCTCTCTCTCAGCAGGCTCCTCAGTCTAGAGCAACCCTACGTTCAGATAACTCATACAGGCTTTTTTTTGTGATTGTACCCCGAGAACTGCTGTCCTCGGGCAGCCATGTGGAAGATTTTTTTAGGAATTCAAGGAGGAACTTCAGATCTCAGTGTAGGATGTTCAGCAATTTTCATAAAAGTGGTAGCAAGAGGAAGAAAGGAAAACATTTGTCTGTGCTAATGCAAATAACTACATGAAGATCACCACTTGCCTTGTAATTCCCCTAAAACAGAACCAATGAGGCAAGTATGTTCAGACCAACTAAGGAAATGACAAAAGTACGTGCTAAGTATCCTCTTGTGCACAGTTTTAAATAAAAATTAGACTTACCTTTCCAAACTCAGAACATCACAAATCTGCTATGCCAATCCTGATAGCAAATCTGACAAAAACACAAAAAGACATTTTTTTCTACTCCCAATTTATACCAATCTAGCAACATAACATTAAAGATTAACCATCAGAATATGAGAGTACAGTTACTAGACTACAGTGATGCCCAATAATAAGTCACTTCCTGTTGCAACTGTGAATATCTGGCTGCATATCAGAATCACACAAATCTCAATTCAGATTGTTTTCGAATTCTACAAAATAATTAGAAATTAGAATAATTTAAAAGCAGAAGGGAATATCTTTGGAACAGTTAAGGAGGAAAATACCAGCCATGTACAATTATAACTGTATGTGTTCATACTAATAAAACCAGTTCAAATTTTTGGAAATATATTCTCACATAGCATTATCTACATTAAAATACATTCATAACCAGTTTGTTTATGTAAATTCTTTCATAAAAAGACTAAGAAAGAATATCATTTTTTTAGCCCAAGAGAGCCTGTCCACAATAGGGTTTCAGCTGCCACATTTTGCATTGCCTAGTGTTACATTACAGTTTTATTTAGGCTGAAGAATAACTCAAACTCAAAACTGTTTGGAATGACTGTACAACTTCACTGCAGCATATATACCTCCACTAGGGTTGAAGCAGCACTCTGTAAACAGCCTGCTTTCCATTTCATCACCTGCTGCGATAAAAGAACCAAACAGGAGTTTGTGCTTTGCTTTGAATTCCTATGAGATGCTGCAGTATTTTGAAAAGGCAGCAGGCTGAGAGCACAGCACGATGAAGTTGCCAGCCTGTGTACAGCACAGGGTTTGGCACTGGAACATATTCCTTTACACACTCAAATAATCCATGCATGCTAGAGGCAAGAAAGTTGCTCCTTTTATGAAAAGTTTGTCTTATAGTTTTTGTTTTAGCTTACAAAGATTTTATTCTTGCAAACACTAGTTGAGCACACAAGCAACTGTATGTCCTTCCCTAGCAATTAAAGTATGGGTAAAGTTTTAATAGTCCCTGTGCCTCCAGTGCAGCAACAGACTTTAAATGCAACTGTTCTGTTTTCTCAGCAGCTCAGCTAGTGTATCAAGTGCTGCAGCATTTTATTTTTAATAATCTTTCTCCTCTTCCATTTCCAACCCTTTGTAATACTCTAGTTCTTCTAATCTCTGTCGTTATTTACCATTTGAAAAGAAAAGACTGAGGGTAAATATTCTTCAAAGTCCTCTGTGATGACAGCTAATAATATACAAATATGCAAATAATGTACATAATTATTTCCCTTACTTTCTGGTAAGTCATTAATTAGTTTAAAGGTCTCATGGCTTTGTTTGTATTTCTTTTTTAACGATTTAAATGACCATACACATTTCCTTTAGCCTTTCAATTTTCTATCTTAGCAACCTTCCCTAGTAATTTCTGCTGACTGCTTACTGGTTTCACATCACTAAAGATCAGTCCCAGTCTTCTAAAGTACAGTTTGATTAGAGTCTGGCTTTAACAGACTCCAACTTTCGCTATACAAGAATTGTTCTTACCCTCCTGATTCCTTGGTAGAGGAATATGTTTGAGCTCATTCTTGAGGTTGTTGCTTCATTTCTGCTTGCAGGATACTCTGGATGAAACCTGGATATTTGCCTTCCAACTACAATTTAGAATTCTTCTTCAAGTGATTTTGGAAAAACAAATTCACTCTAAATGAGAAAAAAAATAACTCACAAAACAAGCAAGCATAAGGCTCATTATATTTTGTCCTATTTTAAAATTTTTTAGTGTAGCTTCAATTTTATCGTGAGGTGCTTTAAGATTTGACAGAAGTCAGAGCATTTTTGTACAATACAATGTGACAGTGTAACTGTAAATAATCATAGATTTTTTTATATGCCAAAACTTGCTGTATAATCTTTTCATCACAAGAAAGACATCAAGCCTTTGGAGCAGGTCCAGAGGAGGGCCATGAAGATGTTCAAAGGGCTAGAGCACCTCTCTTAAGAAGAAAGGTTGAGGTAGCTGAGCTTGTTAAGTCTGGAGAAGGATCTGGGGAGACCTCATTGCAGCCATCCTTCAAGGCATGCAGAGTCAGC